TTGTGGCCTCCAACTCGATGGTTTTGGAGGTTGCAGCACAGCTTCTTACCACTAGGCCACCAGAGCCTTTCAAATTATCTGTTCAGCATATAGAGTGAACAGATATAGAGAAAAGAAACAGAACTGCCTGAAACGTATTCCTTTTAGGTAATTTGATATACTAGGAACCTTTATAGTCCCATTGCTAAGCATTCAGCAGCTAACCAAAAGGTTAGCGTTTGGATCCATCGGCCATTCCTCGGAAGAAAGCTGTGGCAGCTGGCTTTCATAAAGTTTTAAAGCCTTAGAAACCCTATGGGGCATCTCTGCTCTATCCTATTAGGTCATTACGAGTCAAAATTGACTTGAGGGCCATGGGTCTGGTTTTCTATGACTGAATAATATGCCATTGTGTGAAGGGGCCACAGGTAACTTATCAGGTTAGCAGCCAATGGCTATCTGAGCCGTGTCCACCTTTTGCTATTGTAAGTAGTACTTCTGTGAACATGTGTGCGCATGCACATGTGTGTACTTGTCTCAGGAACACTTTTCTATTCTCCAGGTATGTTCCAAGAAGTGGAACTACAGCCCTATTAAAAGTGCACTTTTGCACATCAGCTGGCTAGCTCTCTTGTTGAAAGACATGTTTTGACGAAGGCACTTCTTGATTTCCCATGCAACCAGAGTCAAGCAGTACCCTGGATAGAGAATTCAGAACAGATTATCAAAATATCACTTCTGCACAGTGCTAAAATGAGAGAAGTAGGGGGAGGGGTACACACAGAAGGAGGGCTTAGATCACCTGCAAAGTGAATAATTAAAAATTATCTCTAATGAGAACTTGCAAAATCACTGTGCAAGTGGCGATCACACCACTCCATGGATCCACAACCCCAAGGTGGCAAATCCAGCTGAGTTTAGTCTTTCCTGACAGCCTCAATCTACCTCTGTCATTTTTAAGGGAACTGTTGGATAGTAATCATCCAAGCAAAGCCTGGTTTTGTCTTTCAGGCCCACAACTGTGCATTTTCTACTGTGCAGACACGCTGTGTATGTACCTTAGTAGGGATTGTTGAAGCAGCTCCCAGGCTGTTCAGCTAGCTGACTGTTACAAAGAAGGATTATCTTCTCCCCACCCCCACCCCCTTTGTCCAAACTGGAGGACTGCGAGAGCATGGCAATTAGTGGTAATCTCAAGGCATGCTAGAGCATACCAAAGAGAGAAAAGAGAAAGACTCACCTCCCTAGGGCAGTTCTTGGAGATGTCTACAGAGAGTGGATTATACCACAGCTGGCTCCTGTGAGGGCAGGTAACAGCAGAGGGCATTAAGGACAAAGCCAAGCTACTGCTGCTCAGAGGCAGCCACTATACACACCCAGATCTCTAGCATCTTCCCTTTAAAATGACATGTCTCAGGGGCTGTATTTGGGAGGATTAACTTGTCATTGCCCCGTGTGCCTAGTTGTAGTTACGTTCATCTAATGATGAAGTTGCTATTGTTGTTAGGTGCCATCAAGCCCAGTATGAATGAGAGCAATTCTATGAACAACAAATCTGCACCCTGTCCTATCCTGTGTCATTCTCAACATCTCTGATATACTCGAGCCTGTTGCTGCAGTTACTGTGTCAATCCATCTGGTTGACAGTCTTCCTCTCTCTTCCTAACCCACCGCTTTTCCAAGCATGATGTCACTTTGCAAGGAATAGTGTTAGAGATTAATAAAATAACTCTGAAATAATAATAATAATCCAAAAGAAATTCTTCACAATAGGAAGCATACAGGATCTGAAATCAAGAAAATATATCTGAGCTCTGAACCCTGTTACTTGCTGGATAGGGGAAATCATGGTTCAGTGGTAGAATTCTTACATTCCATACATGAGAAGAACGAATAAGGAAAATAATCTAAGGACGGATGTGTCTGAATTGTGATGCTGACAAAGAGTATTAACTATCTCATGTGCTACCAAAAGAACAGGCAAGTAAGACTTGGAGAAAGTGTAATCAGAGGACTCCTTAAAGGAAAGGATGGTAAAATTTCATCTCACATGCTTTGAGCATATTATTAGGAGGAAGACAACTTTGGAAAAAGACATCATCTTGGGAAAAGAAGAGGGCTGTACGAAGAGAGATAAGCCCTCAACCAGATGATGGACTGACACAGTGAATCCAACAATGAGCTTGAGCATGGCAGAGACAATGTGGATGGCACAGGATAGGGCAAGGTTCATAGGGTCTCTGAGAGTCATGGTCCACTAGACAGCACCTAAAAACAGCAGTGAGAGAGAAACAGGTTTGATCCTAGCCCATGCACCTTGTGCACAACCACCACTCATCTGCCAGTAAAGGCTTACATGTTGCTATGATGCTACACAACTTTCAGTAAAGGCTCTAGGATAAGGCATACTAGGAGGAAAGGTCACAATCTACCTCTAGAAAAATCAGCCAATGAAAATTCTACAGATCAAAACTCTACAGTGGCCAACCCCATTGTGTCTGAGGTAGCTAGGAGCCACTAGACAGCATCTAATAACACTTGATAGATAATTCAAAAAGTTATTTAACCTAAGTCTTAGTTTGCTCATTAGCAAAGATGTGAAGAATAATAATAGTAACTATTCCAAATTCTTTGGGAAGGAGTAAAATGAAATGCATCCCTGACCCACAAAGAGTGTGAGGAGATAGCAACTGCTAAAATAACTCCCAGGTTTCTCAAAATATTCAATATTCTTGGCATGACTCAGCCCATTTCCAGAGCTGCATAGACTACCTGTATAAAACACTAGAGTTTTGCTCTTTAAGAAATGGCAAAATGTTATGTAGAAACAATTGTTGATTCTTTTTCCAAAGGAAGAAAGGTATAAGAAAGAAAAGGTTGTTATCTTCCATTTCATAGCTAGGAACTCTGAGGTTTAGGAAAGTAGATGATTTGCTTTAATGTCACATAAAGCCAGCAGCAGAATGGAAACAGGTCACGAACCCCAGAGCAATGCAGTCCTGTTCACTTTTCAAGAGGCAGAGGTAAGAAACTCTTGCCTGAACTTTCATCCATCAGTTTAATTTTTCAGATTTTCTATAGCTGCTGATCTTGAGAATCTTGGAAGCTTTGGGGAAATCACATGGGTGATTTGACCTTAAATCTCATGCCACTGGCAAAAGATTAATTGCTATGCCCTGGAAAGGGGCCAGACAATTCTGTGTAGCTGAATAACAGCACCGTCTGGGGGTGTAACTGTCCTGACAGATTTAGTTAGTACATAATTGATAAATCTAGAGTTTGTAGAGCTCGCTTCACAGCTAGATAAGGCAACAGGCTCCGAGGGCTGACATTTACAGAAGTCTTACAGTGTTTTGTACACCGAATCTATGTTTTCTACCTTTTCCCTAGTAATTCCTCATTTTCTAAGGCTCTGTTCTCAGGAGGCAAGTGATGATAGGATTTGACAAGAGCACCACCCCTCCCAGCAGAAAAGAGACCATCTATCAGCGTGGCACAGTCACCTGACTAACTGAAATTTAATTAACTCTACATCCAACCTATGTTAGAAGATTTCTGGGTGGTACAAATAGTGTGTAGTTGACTACTAGCCAAAATGTTGGTGCTTTGGGAAACCAAAATTGCAGTGCCACAAAACAAAGTTCTGGTTACCTGCTTCCCTAAAGATTCCAGCCAAGGAAACCTAATGGAGAAATTCTGCTCTGTAACTCATAGGGTCACTGAAGTCAGAAGCAAAGGATCTGGCTTTGGGTTTAATGTGGGTTGAAATTAGAAAGGGATTCAATATATTGTATAGCAGTTAGGGAATTTTTGTTACCATCAGAACCCAAGAATGTTAAAGACACCTGAAATAACATAAAATCTTGGAGAGAAGACCTAAACCCTGCACAGAAAATCAACCACAGCTTGATGTCAGACTCTTGGCATTATGTGACTTGTTTTAACAAATTGAACTCAGACAAATACACAGAAACACCAGCTGTTAGCTCTTTGGCTTTGATCATCCACTCAAGACTCACTTCTTTGCTTATCAGAAAGAATTGTTGGTGAATATTTTCCTCTGGAATTTGTCATCAGAAATCATAGAGTTAATTGCAAGTTCTTTTTCTTTAATTCTTGCTCTCTAGCTTTCTGTTATGGAACTCTGGGGACACAGTGGTTAAAATACTCGCCTACCAATGCGAAGCTGTTGTTTCAAACCCACCAGGTAGTCCACAGGATAGAGTGTGGCGAACTTCTTCTATATGATCTACATCCTTGGAAACCTAATGGACAATTCTTTCCTGTCTTGCAGGATTGTTATGAGTTAGAAACAACAATAGTGAATGGTTTTGGTTACAGTTTTACGTTCCAATTTAAGAGACATTGCTGAGTGCCAGATACAAACCTTCTGTAATTTTGTTAGTTCCAGTCTTGAAATTGCCAGCCCAATAGTTTATGCCAGTAAGTCAGTGACTTCCAGTATAGAAGATCTTATGGACTTGCATCAGGTGTTTGGTTTTGCTGACGATGAGTAATCAAGAGCAATACCGATTGCTTCTGAGTCCAATTCTGATTCCCAGTGACCCTGTGGGACAGAGTATCATTCCCCATGGGCTCCCAAGGCTGGGCATTTTCACAGAAGCAGATTTGAAGTAATCTTCAGCTTTGAAGAAAGCTGAAGTGCTTTCTCCTGTGGAGCAGCTGGTGGATTTGAACCACTACACTTTCGGTGAGCTGCACATTTACTCCATTCCACAACCAATGAACAAGAGGGAATTAAATCACTTCCTTTATACCTGTAGATAAAAACCCAGATTTCATGTATTATAATCAATACATTGAGTTATTTTTCTAAGTTACTTGTTACATTCTAAGTAAAATTTCTTTAAATGCCCTGTTTTAACAATCCTTCATAAAAACCAATATAATTTATTGTACTGTGTGTATACTGTTTTTTATACTAAAAATGATTTATAAAATGGTTCATAAAAAACTATTGTTCGAGATTGAGTTAGTAATCTTTTTTCTTCTTTAATCAGATGAATTAGAGAAATTAGAACAGGAGAGACTGGCACTGGAAGCAACTATCAAGGATAATGAATGTGAAGAGGGAAGTGGAGGCCTGCGGGGCTTGTTTAAAAAAGCTGGCAAGTTGAACATTACTAAACCAGCTCCTAAAAAAGGTAAGTATTTTTAAAATTTTATGGGAAAGATTATGAAATGCCTCATTGGGCATTTTTAGAGGTCAAAAGCAAACATATAATTGAATTTATGCTAAAGTCATTACTACCAACTCAATCAACTCACAGCTGACTCTCTCGTGAGCTTTCAAGTGGCTGCTAAGGAGTTTAACTGTCAGTGGATTTGAACTGCCAGACAGCTGCAGCTTTTAGGTTAGCAGTGCAACAACCAATAGATTAGACCATCAGAGCTCCCTGACATAAACATTAATTAACATGAATGGAGGGGAGCTCTGGTGGCCTAGTGGCAAGAAGCTGTGCTGCAATTCTGAAGGCATACAGTTCAAATCCACCAGCTGCTCCCTGGAACAAAGATAAGCAGTCTCCTCCAGAGTGTCAGCTATTGATCAGTTCTGACTCGATGGTACACACCACCACCACAAATAGTGGTAGAATGCCTTGTAAAAGGACATGGTGGTATAATATGAAAAACATATGCAATATTATTGGTGTGTACATGCAAACGTTGTTGTGATGGTGTGAATATTTTCACCACCCCAAACCTCCAAAGTTAACCTATAAGATTTGGGGAGCATGGATTGTAGTAAGGGACAGAAAGACATTTCTTTCAAGAAAGTAGACTAGATGGTAGAAACTATTGTCTTAAATATTTACTGTCTTACTATAAAAATTTTCTTGTAAAGTAAGAATTTTGCTTTGGGAGTCATACAGTGCTTAATTGTAAGAAATTTCTTAGGTGAGAGCAAAAGGGATACAAATTTAAGGACAAATATCCAAGTTGCTTTATTCCCTTCTCTTTCATACAAATCAGAGGGCTGGCCATCGACTAGACCAGAAAATGAGGCCTCCCACTAGGACCTCAGTTTTTAAAGAGTGTGCTAGCTTTTTGTCGGCTTGTTGGAGACAGAACTTCATTGATACTAACCAGTGTAGATTTCAGTTGAGCAGCATATGCCTCTGAATGTTTGGTGTATGTCATTGGAATGAAAGCAAAGTCTGGTAAACCACATACACTTTTATACATTTTATTAACAGGTGATTCAACCATGTGATTCTTTGAAAATTGCTTTCTTTTCAGCAACACAGAAAGTTTGAGATTAATGAGGTGCACAGCGACATCTGGTGGTTTAAAGTCAAAATGCCGTTCTTGCACAATTTTTCTAACTTGAGGCATATACTATTGAGAGGTTGCGGGGAAAGCTCATTTCCCTGTGAAGATGACCCAGGCAAATAGCAAGATCCAAACTGAGACTTAGAAGGCCTCTACCTCTAGTTCAAGTTTCCAGAATCTATGAAAAATGTTCAGCACTTCAAAAAGGCTACCCTGTTAGAAGTTTGGCTCTTTGCTTATTTCTCCCTACTATAACCCTAGGAAGCAATTTCACTTGTAATGTTACACACACACACATTTATACAGGAAATTATAGGAGATTCCAACGTTACCTCTCTTCAATGTTATATAGATATGTATGTATGTATGTATGTAGATGTATGTATGTGTGTATATGTGTGTACATATATGTGTGTGTACACACACACATACATACACACACGGGAAATTATAGGAGATGCCAACGTTACCTCTCTTCATATACTAGAATTACTCTTCTGCCCACTGTCATCCCGTCAGTTCTGATTGATAGCAATCATCTGGTTTTTAAAAGACTATAAATCTTTATGAGGAGACTGCCTATCATTCTCTTATGAAGCAACCGGTGGATTCAAGCCACCAGTCTTTCAGGTGGTAGACCAATGCACTACACACTATGTCACCTGGGATATCCCATGGACTGTAGGAGAGCTCACCTTAAAATGACATTGCCTAGAACATCATGTGTTTGGATCTAAAGGTGAGGGTACACAGGCTATTAAAATTAGAAAAAGATCCTTCTGAGTGCTAAATACTGTCTCTCATTCATTTTTGTTTTATTTGTAAGAAACAGTAAATATTAGATATATCTGCTTTGCTCATTGGCACAGTCTGAAAAAGTAGGAGAAGTTCAAGGCATTACCCAATATTGTTCTCTACCTAATTTGGGGCAAGGAAGGAATGAAAGATCGCTATTTATTCTGGCAACCTGTTTGTGCACCACAATACTTGTTTTGGTAAATATGTCCTCCTCTGAACATGAAAGTCAGCTAGTTCAGAAAAGCAATGATAATGCCATGCTCCATTTTCAACACCTACAGTTTCAAACCAAGCTCCAAAGTAAGATCACTCACTACTCTGGGCTTAGCTGGCTGACAACCCTTTTGAGTACCAGAGCAGGATAAACACATACAAAGTCCTCTTGCAGACTTTGATTTGCATAGAAGTGAGAGCAGAGTCCGGTCCATTTTGTAAATAAATTTACTGTCTCCCTCAGTGGCCCAGGGATAGAGAAACAATTTAAGAAAATTGCTTCAGAGCTACAGACTGGAAACACAGAAACAGTGTAAGGCAGAACAAAGCTTCTTCAGAACCTCTCAGATCAGAGAAGAAGCTCTGAAGAGGCTGTCACCACTCGTGTAAGCTCTACACTGACACCATCACTTTGAAATACAGCAAAAAAAAAAAGTTACAACTTTCAAAGACATGGAAATGAGGAATAATGTATATAGTGTGGCAAGGAAACACCTACTGGCAAATAGGAACAGAATCTTGCTCAGACATTACCCTAGCTTCCTGGTACATTAGGGAGGAACTGTTTTTTGTTTGTTTTTTTTTTTTCAAAAATAATACAGAACACTTTAAAAAAATATTTAATATGTAGCCTTAAAGTGGCACAATCCATTACATGTTGTTCTGCTGACTGAAACTTCAGCAATTCAAATCTCCCAGCTATTCTGAGGAAGAAGGTCTCTTCTCACAAAGATGAATTAGAACACAATGGAGAGTTGCTAGCAGTCAGAATCAACCTCACTGCAGGGGCTTTTTATTTCATATGTATCTTGTGGTTTTGTCTTTCCACGTGTCCTGGATTTTTCCATCTTGTTTATAAAACTTCGAAGAGACAAAGTGGCTTCATTTTAGCTTTGCAAGATTCCTTGAAATGAAAGCAGAGGAGGCAGAAAGAGCAACTTTGGGGCCGTAAGTCACGAAGAGCTACAACACCCATGGTCTCTGCCAACCACTGTAATCCAGCAAGTCATGACATTTGGACCCAAACTGTGTCCCCATGACTGAATGATGTAAGGAAGGAATACTTCTGATGAGACTGCTTATCTCTAGAGCAAGCGTCAGCATTCTTTACTCACAAGAAAATCTGAAATACTAAGTTGATTTACATAAGAAATTTGGGGAAATTGGGATATTTTGGGGCATCTTACCACTCACCCACTATTGGTGAGTTCATTCCAACTGACAGAAACCCTAAAGGACAGAATAGAAAAGTCCCATAATGTTTGAATGGATAACCATAGATATCCCTTCAAATTTAAAGGTTATAATCTTTACCGAAATGGACTATCCAACTTTCTTCTTCAGAATGACTAGTAGATTCAAACTCTCTACTGTTTGGTTCGCAAGCAAACATTTTAACCACTTTGCCATCAGAGAGGTTTTTTTAGCTATAAACACAAACCAAAAAGCAACAGCCATTAAGTAATTTCCAAGATATGGTAACCTCTACATGGTTTTCCAAAACTGTAAACCTTTACATGAGACTTACCATCCTTCTCCCACAGAGAGAATGGTGGATTCAAACCACTAACCTTTCAGTTAGCAGCTCAATACACAACACACTATGCCACTAGGACTCCTAATTTTGGCTGTTGTTTTGTTGTTGTTGTGTACCACTGAGCCAGAACTGACCCATAACTGACCCTCCAGCAGGTTTTCATAGGCAGTTTATCACCTGGGAGGAGAAGGGCCCATCCTTCTCCCTTGGAGCAGGCTGGTAGACTTGAACTGAATGCTTTAGGGACTGTAGAGCAGCTTCTTAGAGCTGTAGTATCAGATAATTTGGCATCATTAGATTCCCGAATAGTTATAATTCCACACTGTTCTAATAATAATCTACTGTTTTATAATGAAAACACTATCATAAACCCATCTCCAATTCTTATTTAACTATTGAAGGTGGTATAAGTCATTGTGGGATTCAAGCTTTGCCTCTCTTTTTTCAGAGACTGTTATTGTTGTTGTTATGTGCCATCAAATTGCTTGCGACCATATATACAGCACTTCTGAAGCCTGCCCTGTCCTGAGCCAGTCTCACTGACTCTGACACACCTTCTCCCATTGCCCCCATTATTGCATCAATCCATCTCACTTGGGGTCTTCCTCTCCTTTGCCATTCCTCCACCCTTCTGAGCATGATGTCCTTCTCTAAGGATCAGTCCCTCCTGGCCACGTGCCCAAATTAGGTGAGACAGAGCTTCAAAATCTTACCCTCAAAGGAGAAACTTGGTTTCACCCTCTCCAAGATAGATCAATTTGTTTTCTTGGCAGTACATGGTACAGTCAAGACTCTTCTCCAGCACTACAACTCAAAGACATCAATTCTTCTGCCATCCTTAGTCATTGTCCTGCTATCTAGACTAGAGATTCCTATTATAAAGTCATATCTCTTCCTCTATTGTTATCAAAGGATTTATTGGAAAGTTTCTTTTTTCTGTCCTCAAAAAAAGAAAAAAACGCATTACTTTCTCTTTCATTTCAGACAGCAGCATTAACACTATTCAGTCAATGCATGTTGGGGAATTCAACCAGAAACTGGTGGAAGCCAGCACCCAATTCAAAAAGAAGCAAGGAAAAGGCACAATCGATGTCTGGTGGCTATTTGATGATGGAGGTAAAAAAAATCCCAAAATATATACTAGAATATAGAATTTCTATGTTGATCAGTTTAACAAACTGCATGGGAAGATATCTGAAAATGATACCAGTTAAAGAATAACATTGCTGTGTTCTTCAAAGTTTTAAAAGTATTTATGGAGTCATGAATATGGACATGAATAAAAATTCTAAGACTCCTCACATCCTTTCAGTTAGATATATTTATCCTTTCTATCTCAATTTACTCTTTATTCCAGGGTTGACACTCCTTATTCCCTATATCTTGACTCTCAGAAAAAAGTGGAAAGAATGTAAATTAAGAATCTATGTTGGAGGGAAGATCAACCGCATTGAAGAAGAAAAAATTGCGTAAGCAACTTATCACTCATATGTTTGCCCTTTCAGGATACTTGCCATTCCAGTGACCACTGGCCTAGAATCAAAACAGATTTAAAGACAAAGCCACCAGGACAGAACTTCTGTTTGCTTGGCTTTCTGATCCATAAATTATCTCTGCAACATTTTCTAATCATTGTATTCAGCATCTCTTATTCTATGCTACAAATGCTTTTAGAAGAAATTTAGCCCAGAATCCTCATCTACTGTCTTGAAAGAGAGTACCATTATTTTATACAATGTTTATTTTGTTCTGGCTAGTGAGTTTACTCAAGAAAGAACCTGAAGGAATTTGTTACCAAGAGTTGTTTTCTGGGAGATCCAAACTCGCTAATTTGTGCCAGCCACTCTAATCACAGCATACTTACAATAACACTGCACTGGGTGTCTGGGAGACAAAGCCTGGTCCTGGCCCAGCCTGCCCCACCTGGCTTTAGGATTTTGCAATAGTCACTGAATATATCTCGGCCTCCAGCTTCTTAAATTGTAGTTTCAAAGTTTGAATAAATCACCATAGAGATCTTTTCTAATTAAAAGAAAAAGTGAAAGCCAAGACTCATAAAATAAGTATAAGCCTGTGTCTTTCTCATTAACTCAGGCATGGAGAGCTAATGGTTAGTTGTAAGATTGAGAAGAATCTAGAGAACATGTTACGTTCAGAAGTGTCTCACAGGAATCTGGAGAATGATCCTCAGCAGTTCTTGGCCCTAAAGGCATGTGTAAACCAATAGGCCTTCTCCATAAGTGAAAAAGCAAAGATAGGTTGTTGTTAATAATTTTTAATCTTTTTCCTCCCTCTTGGAATATGATTTCATTGATTATTACGTATATAAATATATATTCATACTATGTTTTATTTGTCTCTTCAAGAAATATTCATAAAAATGGTATATTAAAATAGAAATACATGTTTAAATTAGCTTAAAATGAATATTAAGATGGAAACAAACATAAGAGCTATAATAATTATTTTTTTTAAACCTCCAGAATTATATAGGGGCAGTGGATAAAGTTAAAAATTATATGTGGGTTAGATAATACTACAATTTCAATATTAAACTTTCTGGTTTGAAAGCTGTTCTTTGACTATATAAGTCTTCATTCTTTGAAATACTCATAGAAATGTTTAGAGCAAAAATCCCTTACTCATACTTCAATCCTTTAAGTTACTCCCATGGCTAAACTTTAAGCCAACGTATACACCTACCAGGTGAATAAGAACTCCAGGGAGGTACACACTCCCTAGACCAATCATACATGCAAGAGTGAAGGACTTGTCTTGAAGCAAAGCTCAGTAGGCAGGAAAAGATAAGAGAGCAGGACGAACAGAAATGGTCAACAACAGAGAGATAAAGTGGGAACAGCACTATTACATTAAGAGGACTGAAATTAGTGTTTTGAATCAAAACATGTATGAATTATTGAATGAAAAATCAATTTTTCCTCTAAGCTTTCACCCAAATAACAATAAAAGGTTAAAAAACAAAGAGGTGGTGTGTAAGATCTACACATTACTTTGAAATGGTAGATAGGAAAGTAGACAGATAAAAGTAGGAACGATAGTGGGGCATATTACAAACAGTAATTTGGAATTCTTTGCATTATTCACACAACTTTTGGGTAACTTTGAAATGATATCAAAATCATTCCTTTTCTGGAGGGAAGAGACCCTCTAATATTTAATCATGTAATAATCATACATTCATTTGCTAATAATAACCCTATAAAAATAATGAGTGTTGAAGTTTGCTCTCTCTTTGCAATGATAATATGGACAGTTATAAATTCCTCGAGTCATTAATGTGTAGCAGGTTTGCTCCTTCTAGTGTCTGCACCTACACTAGTTCCATTTTGCCTTCATTGTCCCACTCTTAATGTACGCATCAAGTACTGTCATGAAAACCAAGGACTAACTAAAGTATTTTAAGTAAATTAGCTTCACTGAAAGCAAAGTTGAAATGAGACATGATTGCTTGTGATAGCTGAACTCAAACATCACAGCTCTGTAGTGAAAAGACAGTTAAATGTGTAGTGATAAAGTGCTTCTTTCTCTCTTGTATTTTTAGAATGGCTTCTCTTCTGAGCAAGTTTAGGATAAAATTTGCAGAAATCCATATTGTTGGTGACATCAACATTAAACCAAACAAAGAAAGGTAAGAAACATTTAACAAGAGCCATTGTTCACCCATGGGACTTTCATTCTCATTTCTGTTCATTATCAAAGGATAAAAAATGTGTGTGGTGTATTTATTATAATGAATTTCTGATAGACTATAATAAAAAGTTATTTTAAATAATCATGACATGGAGCCATGGAGTGCATTCAAAAGAGAAGAAAAGATGTTACGGTGAAGATGATCTTGACAGGAAAAATTGTTAAAAGATAGGGTAGTAAGTATTTCAGAATTTCCCATCTTATTCTTTGTTTCAATGGTTGCAAGTATAACAGCAATCACAAGGTCAGGCTATTCCTCAGGTGCAATCTGTGCAAGTTTTCATTATCCAAAGGGTATTCTGGATGGGAACTCTGATGGATGTGGAAACAGCTTGTATCTTCCTGGCACGATGACAGTGCATACCCTCCTGGGCCATTTTAGCTTTTAGACACTAACTTTGCTGCCAAATAGATTCCAACTCTTGATGACCTCATCTACTCCAGAATAGAATTTTACTCCATAGCATTTTCATTGCAGAAAACTTTCTGAAACAAATCACCATACCTTCCTTCCAAGTTGCCTCCCAAGGTGCCACTACACCTTTCTTCTAAAGGTACATTTGAATTGTCAGTCTTCGGGCCCAAATGCTAAACCCTTTATGTGACTTTTGGGAAGTCTTGGAAACCACTTGGTATGAAAATGTATTGGCCCCAAAGAAAAAGAAAACTGCAAGATTTAAAGAATAGTTATTTAAATGTCTTCAAAACAAGGCATCATTTTAGCCCTCATTAATTACTAAATGTATAGTTCATGATTTTTGAAAATAATTTGTAGATAAAACCTTCACTGATGTTATGGGGTGAAAGCCGATTGTATGAGAATCAAAGCTGATTAGAAGTTAAATTAACTACTTCACATTAAATATTTTTAGAAATACAAAGATAAAATGTTTTTGTTCTTTATAGCCAAAAATAATATTTACTATTTCATAGGTGCAATTTAATATGTTGCATTTGGTGAGGATGGATGGGTGGTGGAGAACTGCCAAGACTAAGGCTACCTGAAGATCTCATGAAGTCTTATGTCCTTGATGTCATCTCTGCCCTCTTCTCTTTTCAATTGTTCACCACTTCTTTTTTTGGCAATTTTTGTCAGATAACATTCTAATTCCAACTTCTACACTTCTTCCATCTTCTTACCTCTTGTCTTCTTTTAATCTATTGTTATCCTGTATTTCCTAAAAGGGACTTCTGGTGGCATAGGCAGTAATGAGTAATACGGCTACCCCAAAGGTTGAGATGCTCTGGAGGTTCAAATCCACTAGCCTATACTAGGAGAAAGACAAGTAGTTTCCTCTCATGTAGTAACAGCCTTGGAAATTTGATGAAAAGTCAGCTAATAATGGGAACTGACTCAACAGCAATGAGAGAGATACAGACACAGAGAGACAGAGAGAGAGAGAGAGAGAGAGATCCTAAATAAACTATTACGTAGACTTAAAATACATTTTTACTGACAATGCAGCAAATTTTAAATTCATGTTTACAGAGGGTATTCCTAATTCCTCTAAAGCTTTGAGTAATTGTCTTTACAAAACAATTTAACTGGTAAGAAAGTTGTAGTCCATATAGTTTCCCTGAGTTATAAATATAATATTTCCTTACATCATACATGTCTATAATATTTTATCTCTATTTATACTATTATAAGGACTTAAGAAATAGTAAAAATACCTTTTGTAATTCTCTTTAGTAAATGGTGGAGTTAACATTCTAATAGGAATTGGGTCCTCATGCAATAATCTCAAGTAGTTGTTTACTTTTAATTTAAAGAATGTGAATTCCCTACATTGTTCTCTTGAAATTTGCAGTGATATGATCAAAGAGGCTCATTTTACAGATCTATTTATAAAAATGCAATTCTCTTCAGTAACACAGCAAGCCCAATGAATGTTTGCCGTTTGTCACTTAGCAATAGGACAGAGATTTGAGGTGTTCTACAGTGCAACTCAATATTAATAAACCTTTCCACTGGACCAACAGGCAACCTCATGAGAAATGGAGAAACGATCAACATTGTCAACTATTTTATTATACTTGGGTCCACAATTAACATCCATGATAATAGTAATAAAGAAATTAAAAGAAATGTGTTGTCAAGTATCTCTTGAAAGTTCTAAAGAGAAAGAATGTCAGTTTAAGAACTAATGTGCAGGGTTTCTATGTTCAACCTTTTGAGGAAGTGTCAAACTACCTTCCAGAATGTTTGCACCATTTTACAACCCCAGCAACAACGTATAAGAGTTCCCTTCTCGCCACATGCTCTTCAACATCTATTATTTGCTGCCCTGTTGAACTTTGCCACACTTACTGGAGTGGGATGGTACCTCATTTTTGTTTTAATTTGCATCTCATTGCCAGTGATTTGGAGCATTTCTTCATGTGTCTGTTTGTCATTCAAATATCTTCCTCTGTGAAAATTCTTTCCATGTCTTTTGCCCATTTTGTAATTGGGTTATCAGTCTTTTTCTTGTGGCAGTCCAGGAGTATTCTGTAAACTTTTGTTAATAAGGCTCTTGTCTGAGAAGGCATTACCAAATGTTTGTCCCTAGTCTGTAGGTTTTCTTTTCACCCTGTTGGAAAAAGGTTTTGATGCACGCATGGATTTAATCTTTAGAAGGCCCCATGCATTAATTTTATCCTCTTTAGATTGTGCATTTCTGGTTATATTTGGCAGTCTCTTTATACCTTGGACTAGTGCTTCTAAGCTTGATTCCAGTTTGTCTCTTATGAGTATTATGTTTTTGAGCTTTACTCCCAGGTTTCTAATCCACCTTGAGTTAATTTTAGTGTATGGTGTGAGATGTGGATCCTCTTTCTGCTTTCTGCAGGTAGCAGTCCAGTTTTGCCAGCACCATTTGTTGAAGAGGTTGTCATTTCCCCATTTGATAGCTTTAATTTCCTTGAAATTCTATATGACCCAGTTATTCCACTACTTAGAATATACTCTGAGAATATGAGAACTGAGGCACAAACTGAGATTTGTGCACCAATGTTCATAGCAGCATTATTCACCATTGCAAGAACATGGAAACAGCCTAAATGTCTAACCCCAAACGAGTGGATTGCGAAATTATGATACATTCACACAATGGAATACTATGTAGCATTCAGAAGCAATGATGTTGTAAATTATTACCTAATTTGGGAGGGACTGGACAGCATTATGCTGAGTGAATTAACTCAGTCCCACAAGGATAAATATTGTATAAAACCATTATTATAGGATGAGTATAAGGATCCAGGAGGGGTGGCAGAGACTGGAAGCAGAGTGATGTAGATGTATATGGGGAGGGATGGATTAATAATTGAAAGAATTTGTTCAAATTTGTATTCTAATTTTGTAAATAATCCAGGAGGGGGAAAATAATTTAAAAAATTAAAATTAAAAAACAACAACAAATTAAGGTGTGCCTGATGCAAGCCTTGGTATTTTCAATTGCTCCCTATGCATCTAGAAATTGGACAGTGAATAAAGAAGACCTAAGACAATGACTAGGGAGGATAGAAGGAGAATTGATGCCTTTGAGCTGTGGTGCTGGAGAAGAGTATTGAATGTACCATGGACTGCCAAGAAAACAGATTCATCCTGGAGAGGTTTAAACCAGGCTGTTCCTTAGAGACAAAGATTCTGGGGCTTTGCCTGATATACTTTGGACATGTTGTAAGGAGGGACAGGCCCTTGGAGAGGGACATCATGCTTAGTAGGTTGGAGGGCAGGCGCAAGAGAGGAAGACCCTCTATGAGGTGGATTGATTCAGTGACTGGGGTAATCGGGATGGATGTGTCAGAGACCATGCGATTAGCACAGGATAAAGCAGGGTTTAGGGCTGTTGTACATAGGGTTGCTATGAGGGTTGCAAGTGACTCGACAGCACATAACAACAAGAAGAAATGAACTTGAATTGTCATGTTGGCAAAGAGTATTGAATATACTATGCATTGCCAAATGAATAAAATCTGTCTTGAAGGAAGAGCAACCAGAGTGCTCCTTATAGACAAAGATGGAAAAATGGGTTTGGGCATGTTTTCATGAGCAACCAGTGCTTAAAATGAGACATCATGCTGGGAAAGAGGGTCAACAAAAGAAAGGAAGACCCTCAGTGAGTTGGATTGAGATAGTGACTTCCACAGAAAGGTGCAAGATAGGGTAGGGTTCAGATCTGTTGTTCATAGAGTTGCTATGAGTGGTAGTTAACACAATGGCACCTTATAACACCACAAGTGCAGGGTATACACACTACCCAACGCCATTCAGTCAATTCCAAACAGTGCATGCCTATAGAACAAAGTGGATCTACTCTATAAGGTTTGTAAGGTTGTGAATATTTATAGAAGTAGAGAGACCAGTCCTTGGAGAGGGACATCAAGTTAGGGAGGTTGAAGGGACAGCACAAGAAAGGAAGACCCTCAATGAGACAGATTGGTTCTGTGATTGGGGAAATGGGAGTAGTTGTGTCGGAGACAGGTTGGCACAGGATAGAGTAGGGTTTAGGGCTCTTGTACATAGGCTATGAGTCGTTAGTAACTCAATGGTACATAACAACAATAACAACACTGACATATCTCCCATTAAGGCGCTGGTGAACGTAAACCACTGAACTTGAAGTTAATATTCTAATGCTTAAACTTTCTAACACCAAGATTTTAAATATAGGGCCATTTTCTGCCATCTAGCAATAGGATCACTGAGTTGGGGCCATTCAATGGCGCCTAACAAAAACAACAGCGGAATTTAGCCACTATATCTCCTATTTCCCTTGAATTTACTGTAAGCCCTGGCTCAGTGCTAGTGACAATTCAGTCACATAATTTTTGTAACCAAATTCCTGCTGCTGTTTGCCATGTCTGTTCCTATGGACTGTCTGTGCTTAACAATTTATTCCTACATTCCTTTGCCTCTTGGTTTGTCAATCTGGTTTCTCTATAAAGCCCTTT